CCCTCTAGCTGCCAGTATTTTCAGATATGTGTTGATTGATAAAAACTGTCCTGTTTATTTTTGTATTTTACTCACTCTTATCTCATTTTATTCAACTTTTTGTGGCACATATGGTCTAACCCTGTCTGTCTGCACAGGGGGACGTCGGACGCCTGCTGCCTCCTGTCTGCAGCACCTGTATCAGCCTTGGCCCCTGCCTGCCAGCTGCCTAGGGTGCCGCATCTTCAGGTCAATAGCGGTCCCCAAAGCAGCCATCCCACCTGTGATCCCACCTCCCTGCATCACTGCCAACGCCAGCCAGCAGCCCACCACCCTTGCCATGGAAGACAGTCTGAGTGCATCGCCAGAGGAAGTGCCCTTTTTATTAGAGTCCAGGCTTCTGGGCACCATGGCACAGGTCTGTATCGCAGCTACTCGGGAAGCCAAGGCAGGAGGATTGCAAGTTTGGGGCCACTGTGTCAAAATTTTTTTAAAGGGGCAGGGTGCAGGGGATGGGGCTGTAGCTCAGTATGAAGGCCCTGGGTTCAATCCTCAGTACTTACAGATCAGGCCAATGATGTTAATTGACAAGTGACAGGGAGGCTGGGATGAGGATCTGGGCGACCTTCACTGTGTGTTAAACACGAATTTATTACAAGAATATGTTCCTTCGGTACAGAGGACAAGAGCAGCAGGTCCTCAGCACATGCACTGGCTGCTGGCCCGTCCCTGCTCTTACCTCCTCTGCTCTCAGAGACAGTGCACATTGGCTGGGAGGACCCCTGAGGGAACCAGCTCGGGCGGATGGAAGACAAATGCTGACCTCGGTGGGCTCCGGCAAGTCACTCAGACACGCCATCCTCCAGGGCGGGAGAACTGAAACTCTGCTTGTGAGGAGGTAGCAGGGGAGCATGGCCTCAGTCCACCCTCTCCCACAGCCCCTGCCGCCCAGGGCACCAGCCTCCATCTGAATCACACCCCACGAAATACACCTTCAAACCAGACTTATTAAAACTCAGAGGAGAAACAGCCACGCACACCTCAGGTGACATCATCCCGGGTGACCACACAGGTGCCAGGCATACCTGAAAAGGAAGCGACCTCCCCACCCAGCAGCCCCAGAGCAAACCCTAGCAGACCTGCGAGTCTCCAGTTTAGGGCTACAGACACACAGGGCAAATATAGGGGCTACTGAACTCGACCACCCACAGTAAAAGCAGGCCCAAGGATCAAAGGCTCTGACCCTTCCTCGTCTGGCTGGTCTCCCTGGGACACAGGAAGGATCTCCAGGCATGAGTGCCTTCCCGCCAGCGTCAGATGTTGCTGCTCATCACCAACCCCGAAGGTTGGCGGTGCGGTGCAGGCCACTGGGCTGTGGACGATAGAGCATTCCCAAAGTACCAGGGGAACCAGCAAGCTGTCCCTCCTTCGCCTGTGAGCACACACACTCCAGCTAGAGCCCTCACCACCAACTCACTGCCGAGAAGCAAGTCCGGAGAGAGTGCTGTGTTAACACTGGGCTTGATGGGGAGCTGGAGAGTTCTGCTCAAGCCAGGAGAGTTGGGCGAGAACACTTCCAAGACAGGACAGGAAGGGAGGGTGCGGAGCACAAGGGTCCAAATCTCCAGCTGTTCTGCTCAGACCCTGCATACAGATCAGGGTGCCTGATGTCCTCGGGGCCTGTGCTTACGAGGAAGAGGACTCCACGGAACCAGAAAACTCCAGCCACCCAGGGTCCACAAAGAACAGGCAGGGCTGGGCTGCTTAAGAACAATACAGTGACTGCACTTTTTACAGAGTGCAGCATGAGTCCAGGAGGGCCCTTGCACCCGTCACAGCAGCACAAAGCAACAAGTCCCTTCTAGGTAAAGAAAGGAGTAGCCTGGTGGGGCGCGTGCCAGAGGGAGGCCAGAACGGACAGCCTGCTGCCTGGCAGATGTGCCAGGGACTTCAGCTCCTGGTGCTGGTGTCGGAGCTGGAAGGGCCCTGGATAGGACAGTGAAGCTGCTGACAGCCCAGCATAAAGGGCTGGGGGCCAGGCTGACGCCAGAAGGAGCCAACACAGGGCCAGGAAGGGGCCAGGCGGGAGCAAGGAAGGAGGGGCCTGAACGCCGTCACGGGGCCACCAAGGCCACTCACCCTCAAGTGCTCAACACCTTCTGATACTGCCAGGCCCACGTCAAACCCTAAAAACAAAGACTTGCAAACAAACACCCCAGACACAGAAAGCCCCCACTAACTCGGCCAGTCATCTCCAGGGCGCAGGGTACCACCAAACTTCCATGCAGGCCACACTGCAATACGCTGTTTTATACCCACCTCAGAGCAGCAAAATGATAGGTAAAAGCCATTCACCGGTGCTCACCTGGGATACAAGCCCAGAGACCGTCTTACTTCTGCCCACTGCCTTCCCAGCAACGCGCCGAGTGGGCCCTGAAGGGACGGGAGGGGAGGGTCGCGTGACGAGACCGCTTCCCGGGAGCCTGCTTTAGCAAGGCCCAACAATGTCATCGCCATCTGTTTTTCGTTTTTTATTATGAGAGATGATTCCAGGACCTTCACACTGAGCTAAATTCCTAGCACTTTATTTTTTCAGACAGGGTCAGGCTAAGTCACTGAGCTGCCCAGGCTGGCTCGAATTTACAATCCTCCTATCTCAGCCTCCCAGAATGCTAGTATTACAGGCATGCACCACCACACACAGCTTCATCTACCATTCTGGATCCTCGCCTGTAGTGAATGAAGCGAGAAGGCATTTGCTTGAAGCCACTGGTACTCAGTGTTCCTACATAACTGCAGGAAGTAGCTAAGGACACTTACAAGTGGGAAAAAGTGGCTGGGGATGTAGCTCCAATTCCAGGAGGTGCCGTGCCAGCCTGGCAAGTGCAAGGTCCTGAGTTTGATCCCCGATCGGAGGGGCGGGGGAAACAAGCATGTTCTCTGAATGACTGCAGCAGGGCCCGGCTACGTGGACGACTGGACCTCACCTTCCTGGCTGCTGACCCTGCCTGGTATCATCCGGGTCTCACAGTGGACCAGACCTACACTGCCCTACACTCACCAGAGCCTTGATTATTTTAGAAATTATCAGTAGAAACCATCTAAATGCCCAAACACTAGGCACGGACGATGCCGTTTATATTTGAGGATTTTAATCAGAAGTACCTCTGCTCAATCATCAGTGCACTCTTCACAACGCTAAGGGGGCCTCCAGTGGAGACGGGTCCCTCAGAGCAAGCCATGGGCTCCGAGAAAAAAAAATGGATTTTCTTGAATTTATTTCAACAGTGCTGAAACTGACAGAGCCACAGCCGCACACCCAACTGTCCTTGGTCCTCACTGCCCTTGTAGCTCCATGGTCACAGTAACCGCCGTTGTTGGACTGCCTCGCGTGAAGGAAGTGACAGAGACTTTAGGCTCAACCCTGCAAAAAAAATGCTAGAAGCTGGGACCACACCCTCACATTTAGCTGAAGAGCCTCCCAGAGGCATCTGGGTGACCCCGGGGGTCTGGATGACCCTGCTCTGCCTAGAGGGTACCTGTCTTCTCCACCTGCATCTCTGCCTCTTCACCCAAGTCTCAGCAGAACCCCCTAGGGGCAGCGAGCCACATGGGAACCTTGCCACAGAGCTGGTCAATTCTGCATCTGGGAGCGAAGTAAGGAGTTTCCAGTGAACAGAAGCTAGGACTGTGGAGCTTTTTTTAAGGCCAGTCAGGGAGAAATGAATCAGAAAAACATTTCACGGGACATACTTGGTTGATCTCTAAGCAAAGGCACCACACGACTGTCAGGGGATCTCACCAGCAGGGTAAGTCCTGAGCACTCAGAGCAGCCACCAAGGACACCAACCGAGAGGGGAGGCGCACACTAGAGTCCACTCTGGGCTGAACAAGCCACAGGCAGGAAGCATGACACCAATTCCAGGAGGTCCCTATGCTTCCGGGGACACTGGTGCAGGCAAGACCATAGATGGAGGTCTGCCGATGCACGTGCTGACAGCAGGGACATGAGCCCAAAGAAACACTGGCATCGGGGTCTCCAAGTGGCAGGGTCCTGGCCTCCAAAGTGCACGGCCCCACTGTCTACAGCCTATGCTCTCCTTGCAAACAGCTTCAAAACAGACCTGTGCACCCATGCTGCAGAGCCTCACCTATGTGGACTATGCAGTGAGATGAAAGCAGGACCAGGGATTTAGCTCAGTGGTTCCACTGCCTACCTCGCAAGCATAAGGACCCAAGTTGGATGCCTGATGCTGAAGGAAAAAAAAAAATGAAAGTAGCATCGGGCCAGACCTGTGCCCTGGAGAGTGGCACCCCACAAGTGCCAGGCTGCTGGGCGCAGAGCAGGTGCAAAAGAGGAGAGGGTGGGGTGTGTGCACAAAGCAACTCCCTGCCTGGAACCAGCTGCCAGAACAGTCCAGGGTCAGGAAGAGCCTTGGCTCTGAAGCTGAGCACGGTCAGCATGGGCAGCCAGCCTGCCAGAGAGCCCTGCTGGGCGCTGGCTGCGTCTGCAGTGACCCACCTCGCTGGCCCGACTTCACTGCCAGAGAAAGGATGGGGCAAAATGCCTTCGACCAAAATCCAAGCGAGACAGCAGAGGACTGGGAATTCTACTCCAGATTGTGACCCCAGACCTGATGCTCTGCGACTCCCAGGGGCTCCTCTCTAGACACCGTCCTCACCACTGCCCCGGGCCTCACAGGCCATGGCCGCATCTGCTCAGGGGAGGCACCCTGGCCGTGGCACCGTCATCCTCCCAAAAGAGGGCCCTGTTTCACCTGGAAGACAGCCAGCTCGCCAGGGACCCTATTCCCCACTCCTGCTCAGATTCCCTCTAGTTTGTGCATTCACCTTTCCTGTGTTTCTACACGCTCAGCTTCTTCCTTCGCGGCTACCAACAATGACAGGAATATGTTACACGCTACGCATAAAGTGTCTCAGGGCCGGGCCAGGAGTCTGACGAGCAGGAGCGTGTTCCGGAGAAAAGGCTGCATTTCCAAAGTGCATGCTGCTTCCATTCACGGCGGCGGGGCCCACGCCAGGCTGGCCCTCGGCAGGCGCGGCAGTCAGGAGGTGAGGGACTGGATGTTCTTGAGCATCTCATCAAAGGCCTGTGGCGACGGCGCATCCGCGTTCCGGAAGGAGGCCCGGACCCGGCTGTACAGGCTGAAGGATTTCAGCTCCAGCCAGATGAACCCAAAGCGGTCCTCATCGAACAGGATGAACACACCCGGAGTGCGCTCAGGGCTGGTGAAGCCGTGGCCAGCAATGAGTCCTGTGCCATAAAAACTGGAGAGACAAGAGGGACAGCGTGAGTAGGAGACGGGCCTCAGGCATGAGTGGCTTCCTCAGGGCACCCAGCGCCACCCTTCTTGCCCAAAGAGGACCTGTCTGCAGGGGCAGCTAGAGGTCTGGGGGGCTGCCACTGAAGACCGGCCTGGCAGGATCCCTGGAGCACAGAGCTTGGGTCTGGGCCATTGGGGAGCTCCTGCGCCAGAGCCCAGGGTCTGCGCAGACACGGGCCTCCCTGACCACCACATCCACCAACTCCCCCAGCTGAGGCAGAAGCCCTGGGCAGGCATACTCAGGAACTCTGCTCTAAGAATGCACCAGGCCAGTGGAAACAAAGATCTTAATTTCTGGGGTTGTTATATCCCAGGTGAACTCCACAGACACATAAGAGATGCTGCCTGTAGCTGGCATTAACTAGAACTCACAGACCCATTTACAGCTCTGAGACCAGAATTAGTTGAAAACACAGCTCCATCTTTCTCAGGAGAAGTGCTCTGCCCTGCCACAGAGAAGTCAGGAGCTGGCCCGGAATCTCCCAAAGACCTGGACCGGCCCCGCCAGCCACCCTGAGGCCCCACAGGACAGAAGAGGGTGAGCAGCCCTGTGGTTCAGGGCTTCTTAGCTGGGGAAGGAGAGCCTGGCCCCACAGGCCGAGCAGTGGCCTACTGACACTCAGAAAACAGGTCACAGGTGTTCCCTGAACAGGCCACAAAGTAGCAGGGCAATGACCAGCACCCAGATAGCCACAGCATGCAGGACACCTGGGAGTGGGCTCTACACTGGCCGCAGGATCCTTCGAGTTGTAAAATGTTTATAGAAATAACAAAGCTGTGCTCCTTTCTGGTCAAGCCTTTTCATCAGCTGCAATTACACTGGAACGCTTATTTGTAGGCCTCGCTTGGCAGCATCCAAAGTCAGTCTGTTCTTGCATTTTGTGAAGAAAGGATTTTTTCCCCCACAAAGCCTGATCCAGTTGCCTAGGTCCTGTCTGGGAGCTTGGCATGGGACACACATCATCCTGTAGTGGCGGCTCTACTGGGAAGTGCAGACAAGGGACGGCAGCTGCCCAGAGGCAGAAGAACAATGACAGATAACAGGCAGAGGCCGGTACCTGCGATGCCAGGAGACAGGCAGGCTGGCCCTCAACTGGGGGACAGCACCAAGGGCTGCACTGTCCGATACAGCAGCCACCAGCCAGGGTGACCATTCAGCACGTGAAATGTGGCCAGAGTAACCAAGGGACTGGGTCTCTCATTTCATTCCACTGTAGTTAACTTCAGCCCCAGAATGCAGGGACCTGAGGCACAACGGCCTAAAGAGCAAGGCGAGCAAGGCCCGAGGCAGCAACACAAGAGCAAAGCCAGGGTGAGCTGGCACCTGGCAGGCTTTGCCGGGCTGAGGGAGGGGCAGGTGCCCACCATTCCCCACCAGTGAAGGCAGCAGAAAAACAGCAGGGTGGGGAGAGGAGGGAAACCCCCTCACAAACAGCAGCCGACAGCGGCCCACAGAGGGCCCCTGGGCAAGCTGCAGGCCGGGCTTTCCTGGGAAGGCCCTGAGCCTTGCTGTGCCCCCGTCAAGCTGTGGGCTGCACCCGCCCATCTGTCTCTACCTGGCAGACTACAAAGTCATCTCGGAAGCCCAGGTGGAGGTGCCCTGCCTGTGCTACGTGAGGCACCTGCAGGAGCCTCCGCTGAGCCAGCTGTGAGGCCCAGGGAACATGCCCCTGGCTCGGTGCCAGGGTGTTCAGGCTGTGCCACGGAGGGCCCCAAGGCCTCAGCCCACCCCGGCCCACAGTCCTCACCACATCCGGCAGGTGCGGGGATAGTCTTCGTTCCTGGAGCTCACACCCATGGGCAACACGAATGGCTGCCCCTTGCCAGACTGGGCCTGCTGCTCAGCGGCAGCCACCCCCGCTGCAGGCTTCCAGCTGTCCCCAGCGGGCACCGTGTCGGCCTCCCTGGCCGGCTGTTCCTCGGGCAGGGCAGGGCCCTCAGCGACCTCCTGCTGCTGCTCCTGTCGCAGCTGTTCGCGGACCTCCAGGACAATACGCGAGAGCTCATTGAAGTTGCGGAGGTTCTCAACATCAGGCAGCTGGATGCGGTGTCGCAGGTCAATCTCCACCGTCTGCTGCCCAGCAGGGATGTTGGGGTCACCCTGAGAAGCAGGCAGCTGATGGTCAGTGCCACTCAGACACCCAGAAACACCACACAATGCCCTAGCCCACGAGCACACGCTGGCTCTGCCGCAGATATGCAGCAATTCCTACGCAGCCGCACCAGTGGGCGGCTGACCCTGTGGGGTCTATGAAGAGGGGGCGGCAGGGCCGAGGAGCGGCATGAGCAGTGACCACGCAGCCTGCTGGGCATGCAGCTGCGACACTCACACCCATACCTGTGCTCAAACCCTCAGGGGAACTGGCGAGGATCCTCCCAGGGTCTAGAGCGGGGCAGCAGGCCCAGGGCAGGTCAGACTTGCACACCTAGAAAGTACAGCTCCTGAGCCATTTCACAGGGGACAGGGAGCCAGAGCCCAGGGTGGGGAGCATCCAGCGTGCCAGGCATGGCCCTGGCTCTAGCCCCATTCCACTAGGACAGTGATGGTGACCTCTGAGAGCTTAGATGCAGTGGCCCGCCGCAGCACATGTGCCATAGTTCCCCGCTGCTGCACTAGGAGCTTCCCCCAAAGCAGAGGGAGCCCCAGGCCCCAGGAGCAGGCTGTGCCCCTCCAGGACACACGAGCACTGTCTGCCAGCAGCCACCAGTCCCTGTCAGGCGACAGATGAGTACGGTCACAACCCCGGCCTCGAGCAGCCACACGAAGCAGCCCACTAAGGCCAGAAGAGGGCTCACAGCATAGCCAGCCATGAACAGCTCCTCCCAAGCCCCACCATGGCGCACACATGTTACCTGGAGCTCGGGGAGCCTCTCCCAGGCCGCAGACAACTTGTGCTCATGGTACCCAAGGGGAGCAGTGCACCTCTGCATCCACAGCCAACCCCAGACCCCACAGGGTGACCAGGGCTGGGCATGGCATGCAGCCAGCGTGGGTGCACGCACACCCAGAACCTTGTGGAACACGGGTTTGGGCCACCAGGGCTGGAGGGGCCAAAACAGCCAGCATCTCCAGGCTCCCTGACAGGGCTGTGGCCACAGTGACCCTCATGTGCTGAGTCCAGGGACCACACAATGAGACAGAGCCCACTGCTTGGCACCCCAGGCGGTGGCAGCATGGCAGCACTCACCGTGATCTTGGTGCCCCTGGCACGGTGGCCGTGGAAGCTGAGCATCACAATCTCCAGGCCGTGGCTGCCATAGGTGCCCTTGAAGAGGCCGGGCTTGATGAGGTCGTCGGGGTGGCTGGGCGGGAGGTAGATCCGGCGGTAGGTCAGGCAGTTGCTGTGGGGAGCAGGCAGGTCATTGGGGCTCTGCTCAGCTGAGCAGGCGGCCCTCCAGCTCAGGAAGCAGGCCCGGCAACAGATTCAGACACAGCCCACTACACCCAGGTCCCCTGGCATGGAGCAGGGCCCACACTCACTCGTACTGACTGGTGTAAATGAACTTCATCAGAATGAGCTCCTGCATGTGCTCGTGGAAAATGTCCTCCAGCGTGCGGCCCCACTCCTCCCTCAGCCACGTCCGGAACTCCTGCAGAGATGGCACACCGTCACAGGACAGGAGCAAGGTGGCCGCAGTGACATGGAGCACCCGTCCTACCCGTGAGCAGGCACAGCTGTGCCTACAGGGCCTCCGGTACCACCGGAAAAGCAAAGGCCTGGGCCTCGCTTTCTGGGGGCACAGGCCCTGACTCTGGGAGGTCCCCCCAGGCAAGGCGGGTAGCAGCCATGGGTGTCACTTTTGCACCCACCGGGGACAAGGGGTGGCGAAAGGGACCCAGCTCTACACCACACAGCTCGAGCCTGGTGCCCCAGCCCAGGGAGGGCAGGGGCACAGGGGGGTCCTTGTCGGGGAGCCCTGCCTGCAAGGCTGCTGAGGCCATACCCTGGGGCTGTCGGGAACAGAGGACTGGCACAGCCTCCTGCCCCAGGGCCTCCAGGGCCACGGCGCAGGCCCCACCAGTTCGCGTACTGGTGAAGCAGGAGCGACGGTCTCCGATGCTCCAGAACACTGGTGTGTGCACTGTGCAATCAGACAGCACTCGTGTGTTCAGTGCCTAATGCCCTGACTGTGCACAACTGACCCTCCTTACCCAGACCTGGACGCCTGACCAGCATGGCAGTTCCAACCACTCGGGATGAGCTCCACAAACAGAGGCAAAGGCAACTAACAAAGAAGAACAAACTATACTCTGCTGCCCTGCTCCAGGGACAGAGCTACAAGGTCATCACACAGAACCAACTCAGTTTTCATACACTAGCGGCACAAACTGGGGAACAAAACTTTCTAAAATTCTCTTTACTGCATCCCGAAGAGCTTGAGACAGGAATGAATGCCAGAGTTCATGGAACAGTTAGACTTCCACTCCGAAAGTCACAGGGCAGTGCTGGAGGCACGACAGGCGGCTCGGGGACAGTCAGAGATGCACAGGGACAAAGGACAGGGGCTGTCCGGCATGAGCGCTTCCCTTTCCCCCACGCTCCAGACCACCCTAGCAACCCGAGAACCAGTTACTTCGTCAAGGCCAAGGGGCCTCCACAGAAGACCCACCGGCTCGCAATCTCCTATGTGGTCAGCTTCCCATCACTGCGATAAGTGACAGGCACACACAGCAGCGGGCAGAGAAATAACTGGCTCGTGGTTCCAAAGTCTTCAGTACACAGTTGGCTGACTCCCAGGCAGGAGCACCACGGAGGAAGCGTAGGGCACAGGAAAGCCTCTTAACTCTTGGCGTCCGGGAAGCAGACAGCAGAAGAGCCAGAGAGCAAGGGGCCACGTCCTTGTGACCCACACCCACCCACCAGCAGTGAGCTTACCAACGGCCCAGGCATCTCTCACGCCTGTCGAGTTGCCAGCCAAGTACACTGGTCACACACCCACTGCTGTCAAGCCAGCCATCACAGTGGCCAGCTAAGCACCACACTGACCGCCATCGGCCCTGCAGATCTGGCTGACCCTCAAGCCAAGTGCCCAAGCCCGCCCGGGGAAAGGAAAGTCTTTGCCCAGGGATGCACAGCCCACTGGACACTTGGAGGTGAACACATGGCGGCCCCTGCTTCACACCACACCCAGACATAGCTCAAATCCACAGAGGGCAAACCTCAAGCCAGGCTACCTGTCCTCCTCTCAAAAGGGAGGAGACCGACTCGGGATCTGGGTCAAAACCTTTGAGAATACAACCACACAGGCAAAGAACGTGACAAAGTTTGCCATCAAAATTAAACCTTCCATTAAGGAAGCTGAACTTGAGTGAGTGGGGAAGTAAAATTTTAGAACTCATACAAATAACAGATAAAACATGAAAAGAATGGGATGGGCTGAGCAGACTTCAACATCACTATGCCAGCCGCCTTCACCTGAGTGCCACCCAGAGGTGCCCGGCCCTGTGTGCAGTCCAAACATGACTTGCTTGGCATGAAAGGTCAAAGTTACCAGGAATACCGACCACACCCAGAGACTCAGAACAGAAGTCTCTGAAGGTTCCTCACCACAAATCCTCTTGCATGCACTCAAAAGGAACAACCTGGTTGCTCATGCCTATGATTCCAGCATTGGAAGGCTGAGGCAGGAGGATCAACATGAGTTCAAGACCAACCTGAGCCACATAGTAAGTGACACCCTGTCTCAAACAACAACAACAACAAAAAAAAAAATCAGAGAAGGAGGATATGGAGAGTCTGGACACAGACCAGAATGACTTTTATTCATGACTGAGGATCACATCCAGGGCCTTCACACAGTGCTACAATCCTCAGCCCTTTGCATTTGTGAGATACGGGCTCACAAAGGTGCCCAAGGTGGGCTCAAGCTTGTGACCCTCCTGCCTCCAGCTCCCAGGCAGCTGGGATTATTGGTCTTTTCCACCATGCCTGACTTAAAAGAATGTTTTCCCATCCGAAAGTAAACAAGATACTTTCTTAAGTCTCAGTAGCTGAGAAGTTTCTTATTTACATTTTTCACTTAACTACCCATATGCTACATGTATGGCTGTATAAAGTCACATTTAAACTCACGTTACCAAGGAAAACCCATCTTAGCCATTTACCCACCTTCCCTGCCATCACTAAGAAAGCTCAAGGCCATTTACCTTCCAAGGACTCCAAGGAGCACATGCACTGTTTGTCTTGCTGCCCTGAAGTTCCTTGGCTTAAGAAGAAACCCAGCAACCGGCTAAGAAACGTAAGAAACAGACACTACCATGAGCACCCTGCACCAGCAAGCTCAAGTTTTCCCTTGAACACTTTCGAATGACTTACACCCTCAAAAGCAAAATAAATCACACAACAGGAAGCCAGGCACTCAGGATTCTACTACACAGCCACAATCAAGAAACCGGGACCACAAGGTCCTGAGAGGTAAGAAGAACCCGGGGCCTCCTGCCTCGGCTTTAGAAGCCACAGCCAGCTGATTCAGGGCTGGGTGACCACGCGGTCTCCCCGTCCGTCCCTGTTCACGCTCCCTCGGAGGGCTCCTGCACACCTACACGACACAGTGTCTGAAAGGGCTGTGGGGTGGGTCTCCCGAAGGGTCACGTGAGGCTGAGCTATGTGAAGCGGCACGGTGGCATCAGGAGCACGTGAGCTCGACAGAGGCCAGGCCAGGGCTCTGTGGGCGCCTGTGCCGCACCCTCCCGGAGGCCCGGGCTCACCTCCTGCCTCCCGCCAGACATCCTGTGGTGGTCCGTCTGGTTGCACTTGGTGGAGAACTCATCCTGCTTCACTATCTTCAGTGTCACAGGGAGGAAAAAGGAAGAGGAAAGGTTAGTCACAGCCCGGTGGACCGCCATGGTCCCCTCCCACCTCTCCCCACCAGATCCACGAACGGATGGCCAAGGGAGCGCTCAGCACCGCCCCAGTAGGCACCCAGGACAAGCCCCGAGTCTTCACAGCAGGCTTTAACAGCAGGGGCTGCAGCCAGTGCCACACGACACAGCATGCGACAGACTTCCACAAAGGACAGGCGGTGGGTAGGAAGACCCTTCTCCCTGCTCCCATTGGTCTGTACCGGGCAGGCCTGCAGCTGAGGCTGCCTCAGCGCACTCGGTTGGCCCTGCCCAGGATGGCACGGGCCTGTGGTGAGCAGGAGCCCACCCCTCTCCTACACGCCCTGCTGGTGTCTCAGGAGGACCCACCTGGATGTGGCCGTTGTGGGGCCCCTTGTGGCCATACATACACTCCACCGTGGCTGACTTCCTCTCCATCAGGTGGATTCGAAACAAAGGCTTGAATCGCATGGGGTCATCCACGTGGGGGTCATGGGGTGGCAGGTACATCCAGCCGATGATGAACAGGCCATCCACCTGCAGGAGGAGGGGCCGTGACCAAGAGTCACCCTCCACTCGCTGAGCCCAGTCTGGAGTCACAGGCCACAGCATCCGGAGCCTGGACCACGTGGGCATGAGTGTGACGTCTGGCGGCCCAGAGGGCCCGGGTGTGAGGTCCCGAAGCACCTCACCTGGCCCTTGCAAAGCCCAGGACACAAGGAGAAGGCTGAAGAACTACGGACAAATAAAGCCAGCCAATGAAAAGTCACTGGACCAGAGTTCCTCCGAGATGCCCCTGCTGTCAGAAGGGAATCGAGGTGGCTTGTGTCCTGCAGAAAAGGCACCGAGACTCCCTGCCCTGCACGGTCTCCCCACTCACCACCACATTCAGGAGTCCTCCATACGGCCCAATGTCTGGCTGCCACAAGCCCAGAATGTGTCGGTATCGGTGAAGCACTGTGAGGAGAAGGGGACGGCACCACTTAGAGCCCTCAAGGCGAGGGACAGACCCCGGGGCGGTGGGTCCACGCGGGTCGGTCCACTCGGCTCAAGAGCTGCTGGGCTCTGCCACTGAGTGAGGAGTGCAGGGGGCAGGTGCACATCCTTCCTCCCTCCCAGGGCAGCCGCTCCCACAGGACCCTGACTGCCAGCTGCAGGGCTGGGGTCTCTGCAACCCTGGGAGCCACAGTTGGTTTCTGAGCACTGACTGCAACAGAACGCAGAGAGGTCAAGAAGCCAGGAGGCAAAGAGCCTCAAAAATAAATATACAGCTTCAAATACAACCCCAGGACACCTGGCTCCAGGACAATGCTTGCCAGGTTCCTGGCCCACACACTAGTTAAGAATCACCAGGCATGGTAGCACACACCTGTAACCCCAGCATTTGGGAGGCAGAAGCAGGACTGCCACAAGTTCGAGGCCACCCCGGACTACATAGTTCAAGGCCAACCTAAGCTACATAGCTCCTCCTATCTCAAAAACCCAAGAGTCAGGAGTGCCTCCTATCCTGAGGCTGGCTGGCCCGGCACTTGGTGACCCAAACAACTGGGGAGCACAGGCTGGGAGCACAGTAACCAGGAAAGACACAGCTCCTGATGGAAGAGTGAAACTTAAGCCTCATAACCAAGCTTCAGAAAGCTCAATCAAGTCTGACCCAAAAGCAAACATTTGTTCAAAAGACAGGAACCAGGAATCCGCACCAGAATCACGCTGCCACCGCAGTGGTGGAGCGGAGCGGAGCGGTGTGGTGCAGGAGTGTGAGCTCGGCTGGCCCGCCACACCTGTGAGCGCACCAGCCCGGGAACCGCGCTCGCTGCGCCCCCAGAGAGCAGCCCCTGTGCCATCCCACACCAAGGCTGTCAGCGGGATTGGGGAGAAGAGCTTATCCGTTAGGACATAAAAAGAAAACAGTGACATTTGATTGCCATTCACAGTAGAAAAATGGAAAAAGTTAAACTGCATTTCAGCACTGTTCGTAAAAAATACTGCAAGGCACATAAATTGATGAGTGCAGGCTATGATGGGGAAATGCCTTTCACAGATGAATTTTAACTCCACCTGGCAATGCATTAAATTATAAGTAACCAACTGCACCGCAGCTCTCTGGCGGTCCCAAAGGCCAACTCGGTGGCTGAGCAAAAGGACATGCATGATGGGCGGACTCCCCAGAGATGCTCCACAGCCCACAGGCTCAGAGCTCTCCAGGCTGCCGCACTCGCCCAAGAGTGCCAGGCCGAGCTCACTGGGCCTTGAAGGGAGAGCAGGTGTGGTGGCCCTAGGGGAGCCCTGCCCCAACTCGGACACTCATCCAGGGCGGCCCAGGGCGCGTGCAGTTTCCTGAGTGAGGTCAATTCCCAGCCTAACTAAAGCCAGACCCGTCACTGCCGAAGGCCGGCCAACAGCCCTGACAGGAATCCGGGCTGATCTTCCTCCCCCGCCCGTCTGTCCCCAAAGCTGGGCAGTTTCCTCAGAGGACTTCAAGACAAGTTCCCAAGCACACAGCTCCTACAAGTTGTTTGTCCAGGGTAGCTCTCCGAGTGCCGAGGAGGAGGCATTAGGAGCCACTCTGCACCCTGCAGGAATCTAAGGGGCCGGGAGAGGCAGGAAAAGTAAACCCCCGCTGCCCTCGCTTGCTCAGCCGTCCGGCACTGCTCTGCCCTGGCCACAGGGCCATCCCAGCAGGCTGCTTCCCCGGGACGGGAAGGCAGAAGGCACCCAGGTGTCCCTGCCCGGGGATGTGACTATGGTGCTGGCCCGTGCTGCTCTGCCTCAACCTGGAGAGAGCAGCCTGAGGGGGGAAACCCGCTGACCGAACAGCGGGAAGGCAGGTGGGGCTGCGGAGGCCTGAGCACCAGGAGTGCTGGTGCCCTTGGGGAAACAAAGCAGGGGGCTGGGGGCTCGGCCTGCCCAGAGAAAACACAAGGGAAAGCCGAGCTCCAGGAGGGAGCAGGGCGCAGGGCTGGGCAGCCTCTCTGAAGGCTGAGGAGCCCATGGAAGCCACGTGGTTCTGGGCTTCTGGCAGCTATCCATGTGGGAGCAGCCCAGACCTAGGGAAGCAGGACTCCAGGAGCACCAGTGCAGGCGCCTACACAGCTGCGGCGGCTGAGACCAAGGGTCCCTGCAGGTGGGGATGGGCTGCAGGGTAACTCCTGAGGCTCTGGAGCCCCGAGGATAACGACTGCCACAGCTGTATATTCCAAAATAGTGGAGCGGGTTTTCAGGATTCCCAAATGGCAGAGGTGACAGATACGCTAAAACCTTGACCTCGTGGATCACACTGCACGTGCGCATCAAAATGTGCCAGTGTACCCATAAACACGCATGATTATTAAGAGTCAGTTAAAAACAAAACCTAAGCCGGGCGTGGTGGCGCACGCATGTAATCCCAGCACTCGGGAGGCTGAGGCAGGAGGATCACTGTGAGTTCGAGACCAGCCTGGGCCAGCCACATAGTGAGTTCCAGGTCAGTCTCAACTACATATACATACACAATAAATAAAAATGCAACTTCTTGATTGCATGCAAAAATGCTCTTAACCACTGCGGACTGAAAAGTGAGGTTAATGACCAGCCCGAGAGAACACAGAGCCGCCTCCCATGCAGTGCTGCCCCGCAGTGCTGCATCTTGAGTGCGGCTGGGGCTGTAAGCAGCTCTGAGAGAACACAGTGGTGCCCCAGCCACCTCACAACGGGTCGTAGGGACAAGGCCCACCACACACAGCAACAGAGACAACTCACACTTTGCATAGACGTCCCGGCATGACACACCTGTGATCTCCATCTTCCGCAAGTTCTCAGAGACACCGTACTCTGCAACAAGACACAGGCAAAGGTTAGGGCAGAAAACAACCAAGTGACAGACAGACCAGCAGGGACAGGGCGAGCGGCAGCACATGCAGACACCTTGGCCTGTTACAGGTCTGGTCCCGTCTACCACCTAGCGACTTCTCACTCGGCCACCAAGGAAGCCACTCTTCTATCTTCCTCCGTAGACCCGCACCCCCTCAGTCTCCATGCACAAACAGAAGCTGACAATCCAGCTCACGCATGAGGTGGGCGGAAACCCAGCTGTTTGGAGACGATGCCAGCTCCTGTGGAACCAGTCTGGCACTGGGTCGGGTCCTGGTGGCCTCAGGGCCTCCTTAGCCCCAGCGTGGCTCAGCACTGCGGGCTCCACTCCACTCAGCCTCGAGGCCTGTCAGGGACACTAGGCAGATGCTGGGAAGAGGACATGGGCACGACGGTACCGCCTGCTTTGTGCTCTCCGGCTCCTTCACCCACTGCTGCCCCAACCACCACCTCCACATCCCAACCAAGCCCAGGTCTTGGCTGGGCTGGGGACAAAAGGCCCACATCACCCTAACCCACGAACACACCGCTGACCACCACTGGCCTCCAGCACTCGCAGGCCGGGCCCACTGTACTTCACACTGCTACAAGCCCCGAAGACACCAAGCTTTACGCTGGGGAGTAGGAGCATAGGTGGTGATGTGACAGCCACAACGAGTGCACATTGGCAGATGGCCAAGGGCCCGAAACTGAACCCAGTGAGCATGTGGGGGAACAAGGGGCAACAGGGTCCCTGGGCTCCACGGCTCAGCCATCCTGGTCATCCCATGTGCGTCAGCAGGCAGGGCGTCACAGCCCAGCCGTCAAATCCTGACCATGACCTCTAAGGCCAGGACTCTGCCCCAAGGCAGAGAGAAACCAAGGCCCATGGGGCTGGTGATCAGCACTCCCTTGGTGGGTGCCTGGAATGAGGTCACAATGCAGCCTGGTGATGAACTCTGTCACTTCTGGGTCCCACCCAAAGGCCTCGCCCCTGAGCTCTGAGCACAGGACAATCCTGACAGAATTCAAAGCCAAGCCCCAGACACAAATGGGCAGAGGCTACGGATGAGGAGCTGCTCCTGAACAAAACTCCTTAGGGACTGTGCATCCCAAAGCTCCGAGGGCCTTACCCACTGGCGTCCATCAGGATGCTCCAGTGAGGGCTGCCAGGGCGGCTGCACAGCTGAGCCACCTGGTGAGATGCTCTGGTGCAGCTCTGTGGCAAGTGACCTGGGCGCACAGGGGGAACATGCAGACTCAGGCACAGACAGCTGGTGAGCCGAGCTGCTGCAGAAATAACACGAGCCTCAGAGCTAACTTACCCATCGCAGGAGCCACATCGACCTGGTCAAACCAGACAGGTAAGGCTGACGGAGAGGTCAGCAGGAGAGTGCATGCCTAGCACACACAAGCCTCTGGGTTCTGGCCCAGCACAAGAAAAAAACAGCCAGGCACTGGGGATGCTGGGGCAGGAGGATTGTGAATTTGAGTCCTGCCTGGGCAACTTAGCAACACCCTGTCATAAAATCAAAATAAAACAAGACAAAATAAGGGGAGCAAGGATATAGCTCAGTATTCCCTGGATTCAATCCCCAGTACACCAAAAGAGAGAGAAAGACAGGCAAAACTGATAATAATATATTCACAGGCACAGTGGTGCACACCTATAATCCTAGCACTTAGAAGGCTGAGGCAGAAGGTTCACTGCAAGTTTAAGGCCAGCCTGAACTACACAGCAAGACCCTGTCTTGAAAAAATATGTGTGTGAACATAAATGAGCCCTATCACCTCATTACACAGTCAGCACTGAGCATCTGTCCTCTTAATCCCCAGTCTCAGAAACCTGGTGTGCCCAGCACATCACAGGGCCCAACGCCACAGACAGTGACATCTGCTGCTGTTCTGTATTGGGAAGAACTCCATCCACTGGACAGCAACAATGTGCCAAAACGAGTAATAAGTGAGTTGTTATGTTCCCTGTACTCCCCAGTGAGAGGAACTGGCAGGCCACCGCCCCGTGAGGCGCTCTCTCCCTTCGGGCACCACCCTCTGGTCCCCTGAGCAGAGGGGACGATCCTCAGAGGCGTCCTCCCACCCTGAGTCAGACCACACATCCTCAGGGCCCTGCACCAGGCTCTATCCTCCCCGACATCGGGCTGCACAAGTCCTCAGAGCCACAGTGCGCTGTCCCTACTCCGTCCTCCCTGGGGAGCACTGTAAAACAAACTCTGGGCTTAGGTTTTAGATTATTTTTTTCCACAACTGTTCTTCACACACACACACACACACACACACACACACACACACACATGCTGAAGTCTTCTTTTGTGCCTTTAACTACACTGTCCTGGCTGTCTCAATGCCCTGAATCCATTCAAGACACTGCCCTTTCATGGTCATTCTGGCTTCGGGAAGAGCCGGAAGTCACAGGGCGCGGGGTCTGGAGAACGGGCGCGTGAAGACACACTGTAAAGTCTGACAAGCCTTTCCGCTGGGAGGCGATGGGTAGCAGCATTCACTCTGTTTTTGACCACATCTTGTGATGTGGTCACTCATGGTGACCCTGCTGGCAGAGTCTGAGGAGGAGCAGGACCTCGCCTGGCGCCACTTAGCCAAGCCCTCCAGGCAGCCCCCAGGAGATGACCCATGGCCACTCGCCATGCAGGAAGGCAAGTGCTGCCAGCCTGTACAGCGCTGCTTCTTACATCTCATGACAGGGATGAAACATCAGCATGCACTTCGAGGGGGACAAGACACAGTCAACCGGAGCGCCCCTCGTATCCCTTTCTGCCCTAGGACCCAGCCAGGAGCTCTCATCACACTCCATCACCTCCTCTCCTTGGGCTGCTCTGCCCCCAGACCACAGCTCAGACTGCCCTCCTTGTCAGTGCCATGATGGAATCTGGTGTGCCGCTCAGGGGCTGTGCACTGTCCCTCACCTGCCTCCCCACGATCGTGAAGAAGACCCAGGGAGGCCACACAGCAGAGCCCTGCAGCTGCAGGTGGCTCTGTGGGGCTCCGGTGGGGGCAGGAGTCAGGGGTCAGGAGTCAGGGTCTGACCAGGCAGTATCCCAAGTCCTCACCGCATCCCCTTGCAGAGGCAGAAGACCAGGAGCCTGACTTTGCATTGGTATAGTTTTATCCTACATCGCCAACGGAGAGAAAACTCTAGTTTGCTAAGAACCTTGCCAGAGATTTAGACGCTCCTGCTAACATGACGCCACCTCGATGGCATCGCATCACGACACAATGGGGACGCCTGTCCGGTGCGGCCGCTCCAGCAGCCCGGCCGTCCCACTGAAACGCAGACCCTGGGCCAACAGGAGCTGGGGAGCCCCACTGCAACCTGAGCTCGAGCCAGGGAGGGGAGCACCCAGCGCACCCCGCCGCTGAGTCGAGCACCCAAACCCGTGGCCTTGCTGGTCAGACCCCGCCGCTGAGTCGAGCACCCAAACGCTCGGCCTCACTGGTCAGGCCAGAGCCGGACCTCTTCCTCCCGCCCAGAGGCGGACACTACGCGGGGGTTACGCCAGCGACAGGGGCTGGCGAGGAGGCAGGGACAAACACGCACGCGTGCTGCGCATGTGCAGACCACGCGAGGCTCCGCGGGGCGCCCACAGAAGATGAGGAGGTCCACCCCACTCCCAAGGACAGCCCCACAACCGCTGAGCCCTCTTCAGTTGAACCCCTGCTAAGACTCACCTAGGCCGCCAACGCTCTGCCCCCAGTCACGCTCTGCCCTGCTCTTGCACAAATGGCGCGCTAGAACCTGTCAGTGCACAGACGGGTGCGCCGGCATCACGCTGGTTCCCATGAAGAGTGGAAAGGGACACCACTCTCCTCGGCCCCCAGGAGCCGCCCATGAACACAAGGCTGCGGGAGCAGGCGACGCTGGCTGCAGGCCAACGCTCCACTTCTGGGTGCCAGGTGCCAGGTCAAACACAGGGCACAGACCCGACACACACCTGTGCCCATGTTTATGGTACCCGCGCATGCCTGTAGTCCCCACTGTCTGGGCTTGCGGGGAGGACTGCAAGTTCTGCTCAGTGAGACCCTGTCTCAAAGAAAAAAAATTTAAAAGTGCCAGGAAAACAAGCAACCCTTGGTGGATTTTTCCTAATGTTCCTCAAGGCGATCATAAACTCACTGGCAAAAAACTATCATTCTGAACAAATGCTCCTCTAAAACATGTTCAGTGCATTGCATATGATGGAAAAATGGCTCTTAACAGCTCCACACACGCTCACTGTTCCACAATCCTTCCCATCGGTCATCGGGGAAATGGCCCTTGAAGGGCTTCTGGGCCGGGCACCTGAGAGCAGCCAGCACTGTCCCTCCTGAGCCAGAACCAGAGCCGCCTCCACCCTGGTGCCACGCCACCACGAAGATTTAAGAGCAGTGGCTGTGGTGTCCCAGGCTTCCAATTCAAAAAGTTCCTTCCTTCTATCCAAATGGCGATGGAATTCTTTCCAGGAAAGTCTACTCCAGAGATGGCAGCAGTCAGAGGCTGAGCAGGAGAGCAGAGATCCGCAGGACTGGGGACAAGCTCCGGGCACTCTGTCTCTGGGCTGGCACCCTGATGGCGGAGAGGAGGGGCGTTCTCACAGCTGCTCCCCGCAGCCCCAGGAGACAGCATGAAGGCACAGACAGAAGGCAGCCCACGAGACGTAACACTGTCACTACTCTGCCTTAAAAAGGAAGGAAACTGGTGTGGGCCGGACCCTGAGGACACTGTGCATGTTACAGGAAACACGCACTAACGGGTGATAAGGGCCTCAGAGCCAGAGACCTAGAGCTAGAAAGGGGACAGTGAGGATGACAGGGAGTTAAACTGCTGCTTCAACTATTCCAACCCACAAAAGGAAAAGAAACATGGTGCCAGCTGGGAAGGCAGCTCAGTGGCAGAGCGCATGCCCACCACAGGGCAGGGGGAGTTATTTAAAAGGACAAAAAAAATTCCAACCAGAAAATTTCCAAAAGTGTTCTACCAGGAAGATGGAAGAGCCCAGCGACTGGCCCAGTTGAGTGCTGCTGTCTCTGCCTCCTCTGCCAATGCCCCAACGTCCAGCATGGACTTCCTGTCCATCCCCAGGCTGTGCCAGTGGGTCTGAAGGCTGGGACAGCTTGCCCCCTCCTCTGTGCCCCTCAGGGGACACATCTGCCTCCTGAGCCTCCTCCCTGGGTGAGCAGATGGCAGGCAGATGGGGATGGCGCCAGGCCAATGGGACTGACACTTGGGGACTGCACTCACCAGGTGACACTGTCCCAACACATGTTATCTTGGGAAACCTGGAGTAGATGGCAGATGGCCTGGGCCTGCCGGGACCCAGCACCAAGAGACCCACAGGCTCCAGAGCTCTAAATTCAGGCAGATAAGCCGCACTGGTGGGGCCAACATGGTGACTCTGGGGAGCCCAAGGGAGGGGCTGCTGCAACCCTAGGTGCCCAGTTAAAGGGTTGGGAGGAGCTGACAGCAGAAGGAGGGACAATCAGACCCTGCCAGCCACCGACACCAGCC